TCTATACACTTTAAAGTGACATTAAAAGGCTTAACTAGGCCAATTAGGTTAACTAGGCAGGTTAGGGTAATTAGGCAAGTTATTGTATAGTGATGGTTTGTTCTGTAAATTATCGAAAAAAAATATTTGCTTAAATTTCCCAGAGATGGGTTGCGGCTGGAAGGGCATCCGCTGCGTAAAAAACTTGCTGGATAAGTTGGCGGTTCATTCCGCTGTGGCAAACCCGGATTAATAAAGGGACTAAGCCGACAAGAAAATGAATGAATGATATTTGCTTAAAGGGGCTAATAATTTTGTCCCTAAAATGTTTTTCTTCTAGCCGAAATAGAACAAATAGAAGTTAGAGTTAGAGTAATAAGTTAGAGTAATAAGGATAGATATTGTGGTTTGTAACAGTGGTTTGTTATGTAGACAATTGAAAAAAATGCTTAAGGGGCTAACAATACTGAAAATAAATGAATAAATAAATAAATTGATCTTAAATCTGCACACAGATGGAAAGTTAATCTAAAACATAATTCATTATAGCACCATAATTTTAAAATCACTCTTTTTTCTTTTATTTTATAAAGAAATCTGTTATCATAGTTCCCTAAACCTAAAACTAACAACATAAAACTAATTCAGTTTTGATTCTTGTGTTAATTAAAAATAATAATAATAATTCAGCTAGTTTTCAACAATACAAAATAGAATTTGATGTCATTTTGATTTAATTTCGAATATAAATTCACGTCATTTTCATTTAATTTAAAATATAAATTCATGTCATTTTTATTTATTGTCAAATTTATTTATTCATTTCCTTCGGTTTAGCCCCTGATTTATCACGGGTCCCCACAGAGGAATGAACCGCCAACTATTCTGGCATATGTTTTATGCAGCAATTGCCCTTCCAGCTGCAACCCAGTAGGAAATTAGTTTAAAATTAAAAAGATTAAACTATATAGGTTTGTTTTAAGATGTCCCTATAGAACCCATCATTGCATATCACACGAGTCTCTTGGTTTTCTTCAACCTAAGTTCCGTAGATAATATCATTGGTATTTGTTTCCTTTGAAATGTGTTAATTTTAGTTTCCCTTCTTTATTTAAAACAGTTTTTTGTTCCATTTACCTCTTCATATTCCTTTCGACATATCCAACAGTATTACTTTTTTGTTCCAAGTATTACAACAGAAAGTGGTCATAGGTCCCTTTAAAGCTCCTTTTGACTGGAATAATCTTCCTTCTTCTTTTAAATCAATTAAGACATTTAGTCTTTTCAGGACTAATTTATCATCTTTTTTGAAAACAACTTGTAAATGATATTAATATTGGTTCCAATTTAAATGCTTAATATTCATTTGTATATCAAACTGATGTAGTTTTGATTATATGTTTTTGTTTGCTTTTTCGGGAAGTGTTTTAAGTGTTTCAGATAAAGTGTGCTTGTGTGTTTGTTTTGATTAGTTGTATGTTTGTACTGATGTGTTGCACTCTGTTTGAATTATGTACTTCTTAGAGACCCCCTCGGAAATAAGATGGTTCATCTCAAGGGGCTATCCTATTTAATGAATTTAAATGTAGACAATTAAAAAATATCAATTACATGTTGCTAAATTAACAACAATTATTATACTATAAATGTATATATGTTTTTGTGTCTGTACTGTAGGTGACATTAATACAGTGTAACAAAGACATATAAACAAGGAAATTAGTGAAGTAAGTAAAGGACCACAGGCTGATAAGTACATGACCATAGTCATAAATAACCCACAAACACATGCCGGCCCCTGTCGCACACACCGGGTCACAGAGATGCTCAACAACACATCTATCACTTTGAAAAGCCTGAAACACACAGACCTGTCCTTCAGCTCAGGAACACTCCGAAATCACACTTTCCAGCCCATAAGTGGAAAAGCATTGATTTTATATCTCAGGTAATGGATGATGCTGGCATTACATCCACGACAAAAATAAAAGTCAGAACTTTGACAAATGACATAAACATAAACTGTCTGATGTGCGATAAACCTTTTTAAGACTAAATATTAAAATTAGCTATTCATATGACTGATGAATTAAACTTAAGATCTATTTGAATTAATTTCCAAATTCTTAAAGTAACAATAAAATCTTATTTGTGAAATTGAGTTTTTAATTAAAACATCATATTAGAATTCCAAAGCCAAAGATTGTACTGCAGGCTAATTCTTGCAGCAACTAAATAAATGAAATTAAATGATATAAATGATTGTTATTGTATGTCATTCATTGCCATTCTGTTTGGTAAATATCATATTACAAGAAATAAAATAAAAATAATACGATAAGATACATTATTATTAATAATAATAGCAACTTTAGGACATAGAAAAAGAGTCACAGTGATTGGGGGGAAAAAACCCTTTTTGACCAACTTTCCAACATCACGTTCTATTTGACAAATATGTCAATATTCATTCATAAAACATTTGTCTTAAATTAAAAGTCTATTACTTATAAAAAGCAAAAGTAACCTATAAATGACAGGAACACAAATGGCGTCTGCTCTCGAGTGTGACATGGGTTTCTTGTATTTTTCCACACAAAATTAACAAACATGCCAAAGCGCACACCGCCCAGCGTCACTGCGTATGGCGGTAAATGTCACCGACAACATTGTTTATGAGGGATTACTGAGGCCAAGCTTCTGGAAAACAACAATGACCCCAATATAGACACAGATACACATCACTGGTGTAAAAACCCAACGCTGATAATGCCAATCTAGAGTGAAACGCTCATATTTACAGACACACTCGTCTCAAAGCCTCATGTAATCTCTCTCACAGGAATTTCTGGGTTACTGGACCTATAAAACACATTTCAACACATTCTGGCATTCCTTTTCCCTCTCATTTGGTGTCCTCGGCCCAGTTCTGAGAGCCCGATGTACGTTCTCCTGTCACATGGCAAATCCAGCAAGAGCTTGATGTGAAGACTCGGGCTGCAGCAGGTTCTGAAGAATATAAACAGCGTTTTCATTGTCCGGAGGGACGGGTGTGTGAAAGAGACGAGGGCCTTATCACAGCCCAGCAGCTCTGTAATTCGCCTCCGTGATACAGCACCAGAGCGGAGAACCTTACACGGCTGGCACAATCCAAAGACGGATTAGTTTTTCTGACATAAGCTTCCTGAAAAACTAATCAATCAGGCCATGCGGCATTATCAGAGGCATAAGATTAAAGCGTGGCTCCTAATCCGAGCACTGTAAATTTTTAGTAAATTCTCAACCGCTAGTTTTCCTCCAGTAAATAAATAATGAAATCAAAGCTAATTGCATACAAAGAGAGCTGGACGACCTCGCGATAGGGAATTTACTGTGAATCATTATTCCGGCTTTAAATTTGCTCTCTATAAACCATTAAAAGTCTGTGTATGCAACTGTGCTGAGATTTCAGTCAAGGAAGGGTTTCAGATGAAAGAACTAGTGCAGACTCCTATCAAAACCACACATTTCTCTGCTATCATTTTTCTCAATCGCTTGTATAATGAACATCTGGGTGCTGCTGGAGTTGGTTATACGGACATTGCATGCCACCTTCCTAAATGACTCATCATTTCAATCAACAGATCGGCGCTTTGTACAAGCTTAAGCACATATTGATGGCTGTTATGTTTCCTATGCGTGAACAAGGGTACAGCAGAACGGCGGGCGCTCAAAAGAAAGCGGCGCTCTGGCAGAAAAGGCCAACCGTGCTGAACTTTCTCAGCCGTGCAGAGAACGATCATTACACAAAGATGAGGAATGAAAGGAAATGTGTCTAAACAATAGAGTCGTGGGGTTGTGCTCGAGCGGAATTAGTGCTGATCACATTGTTCTCCGTCCTGCTCTCAGAGGTTGACTGCAGCAGATGTCATGGAATGAATAGTTATAGTGTGTAGGCTCTGACCCTCTTATCTGTCCCCAGGGTGCAGCACAGATGCTGGGCTGCTTCTCCAGTAGTTGAATCACTCTGTGTGTGTGTGTGTGTGTGTGTGTGTGTGTGTGTGTGTGTGTGTGTGTGTGTGTGTGTGTGTGTTTAAGAGAGAGAGAGATACTGTAGGGACTCTAATCCATTGGGACGCTGCCTTTAGAGGATTGTACCAAAGTGGATGTCCTCTTAGACAGAACCCATTCCCACAGGTACCGTTCCTCAAGAGTGCAATGGACAGCCAAAAATTAAAAAAATGATTATGTGCAAGGCTATGCTTCCTAATTAACTACTAACTGAAAATGATGTTTGTGCTGTTTTTTTGACACTTAAAGTGATTTAGATCACTAGTCGAGAGTTGTGTTTTTAATTTTAATGTTTTTCTCCATTAACACACATGGTTAGACATTTATTTACAATAAAAACAACAATAAATGATACACATTTTTCCTTTAGCCAATAACTATAATCAGAAAATGCTAAATACTTGTTACATTTTCCCTCAACCGAGTTTACCTGGAATATTGACAATATTTTGCTTTATCTGTTGTCTATCCAAGCTTGAATCAGGTAAAGCTTAAAAAAAGTTTTCAAATGTGAAAATGAAATGTGCTATATAAATAAACTTGACTTGCCTTGCCTAATAAATTCAGCATTCCTCTGACATGATACACAACCTTATTTTTATTACCATTCTTCTTTGCAGAAGCATGCAATATTTTATTTATTGCATAAATAAAATCAAGCCCCAGGTGAAACAAATAGCTCTGTCAGTCTGAAGTCATTAACAGTATGCTGTTGTTTGATGTCAGCATCTGATTGCATGCATGAGAGAAATAAAAAGTTGGTAAATCTCTAATGACATTCTGAAAGTTAAAATATATACAAAACAGACAGAAACAACTGATTATGATATATTTAAAGCAGCTAGCTTTACTAAAATACTTTAGCTCTATAGCATATTATTATGCTCTGAATTTACTTGACTATTATTGCTTAAAGTTGGCACATCTGCATTCATTTTCACATATTTGAAAACAGAAATGTTATCACTTACCTTGTGCAAACAAAACATGAGCAACACGGCTGAAATAATCTGCATCTTGATCACACAAATTTGTCTTTGAGTCTTAGTTGAGGTGGGAGACGCAAATATCCAGATAACAGGTTTTATAACAAGGTGCCATTGCTCTCAACTACCTGAATAAAAATAAAAAAACACGAAAAATGCATGCGTTTGTCAGGAAATTATAGTGTGGAGATTTGATGGCATCAGATTCCGTAAAGCAAAGTGTTTGCTTACCCTTGGCCAAAGGTGTTGATCATGTTGAAAAGTGACGGTAAGCAGCGGGGTTAATGACGGCACAGCTGGAAAAGGTCCCACATGCGCCTGTGATGTTAATAAATGTGTTCGGGACAGGACATGCAGCTTTTAGAATAGCATTATATTGGAAAGTAGAGTCCGAGTGACTGTTCGATAGTTCGACGGAACGCGTTCGATGATATACGAAACGCCCCGAGTCCGGTCAGTGCGAAGAAGTGAAGCCGCGCTGCATCTTGCGTGATTGATGCGACTCCTCGCTCGCGCCGTCCGCCGTGAGTCTTCCTGTTTATGTCAGTTTGTTTTGATTAAAGTTTTACACAGCCCCCAAGTAGTGTCGATCTATTACTAAATGCTCAATATCTGAGTTTGTCCGTCTGTGGTTTGATTTGTGAGCGTCTATGTGTGGTGATGTGAATCCTTCTTTGAAGTGCTCTTCAGATTTAGCGCCTGTGAGGGACTCGCAACTGAGAGACGTAACTGATTAACCCATTAGACACGAGTCTGTGCTGTCTTGTCTTTTTATGTGGTGTGGGTTTCATGAAGACACCATAACAAAATGACAGCCTGTGTATTTGCATGTGTGTCATATATTTATATTTACTATTCGTTTTAAGTTTTTGAAAGATTCCGAGTTCACTTGCATGATTTGAGGTGAATAACAAGTGGCGCCGTGCTCACACTGTCCTTAAAACAATTTATGTAAGCTTGTAGTGTAAGTTTTAATAGGTTTATTATGTAATTAGTTTTACCGAAGGCTACATAACATAAGCTTATTAATAGCATTAAAGAAAAGTAGAGAAAGTGATTCAGACCTACGTTCAAACCCAAATGAAATATAGTGCATAATAACTAAATAACATTGTATTTTCACAACCCATCGTAATATTGCACTTTCATTACAAAAACGGCATGTGTGCAAATTGCAATGAAAACTACAAGACGTTAGACGTTTAGAAGTCCCACTTCAATGCAGCGAACGCTCTACCTGTTCACAGGGATAAATGTGTCACTTGCGCCATCATGTGTTTAAAATGCGTCAAAGCATTTCTGTATTAGCCTATTATGGCGAGGAGGGGGAGACTGCAGACTTGGATTTAGGCAGATCTACGGCCTAGACAGTTTTACGGCCTGGGCAGTTTTACGCCCCTGTAACTGTTGTTCCTGATGCGTCCAATTTTTAAATAATTAAATAAGGCATTTTGCAGCAATATTAGAATGTATGTAACTGTCCAAAAGAGACTTTAATCTGCACACCTACAAAAAAAAAATCACACACAAACACACACACACACACACACACACACACATATATATATATACACACACACACACAAGTATCTCTTGAACTTTTAGAAGCTGTAAACACTCTTCTAAAATGCATTATAATACAATGTAAATTAGATTTTGTTGTTGTAGAAATTGTAGGAATTTCATCAATACCAAGCAATCAGAGTTTAACAGCGGTAAAGAAAAAGCAACACATGCTGTTCCCTCTACCATTGCCCATTCTGCGCTATTGGAACATGAAACCCTCAGTAGACTGGAAATATATATATATATATATATATATATATATATATATATATATATATATATATATATATATATATATCCTCATAGATCACAATACATTATTCCTCCAAAATTGACTTTCTTAAATTTTAATTTAAATAACTCTAAACAAATGTTATTAGATCTGAAAATTGAAGTAAATTGTTCAATTTTAAAGTTGCATTGCATTTCATTACATTTAATATAATGCAATCTTGTTCTAGTTTAAAAGTTTTCAAGTTTTCATTGCATTTGCATTCATATTGTTTATCACTTATTGTTTCAGAATTTTTATTAAATATGTATAAATTTTTATTGAATATGTATTAAATATGTTAAATATGGGGAAGTCAATATCACAACTTGAAGCTGCAAATAACAACAATTATATAATATTGACTTGGTCCTTTTGTTATACCCTAAACTGTCAACTGTCAAACTCATAAGATTGTTAAATCATGAATCAAATATTTAAAAATATATATTTTGATTTGTCTTGAATAGGTCCAGATCATATATAAAATGGCATGAAATGTTTTTTATTTTTATTTTTGCATATCATTTTCTATTCCTTACTGTTTAAGGATTAAACAGTACCCTGCGGATACCCTTCCAGTCACAACCCATCTCAAGGTAACACCCATACACACTCATTCACAGTCATACACTACAGACAATTTTAGCCTACCCAATTCACCTGTACCCCATGTCTTTGGACTGTTGGGGGAAACCGGAGCACCCTGAGGAAACCTATGCGAACGCAAGGAGAACATGCAAACTCCACTCAGAAATGCCAACTGATACAGCCGAGGCTTGAACCAGCGACCTTCTTGCTGTGAGGCGATAACAATACTGCGCCAATGTGTTACCCGCAGAGTATTTATATACAAAACTTTGTTTATTTTTCACAGAGCGTGAATAATTTGATGCACAAATGCAGTATTATTTAAAGAAAACTGACAATCTTTAGTGATATTGTTGCCAATAAATAAATGTAAAAAAAAATAAGAATAATCAAATGTCTGGGTTTTTGTTTGTCAGGTAGCTAAACGTTCCTTGGAATTTTAGAAAGAAGTGAATTGTTTGTCTAAACGTTCTGCAGCTGTCTGGTTGTCAATACCACTGCATTCTCATCAAAGCATGTCAATAATCCATATTACACTGTATTGTTTGGTTATAATTTAGTTATTTTCAGAATACAACTATATATAAACAATACAAGAAAAATGCATATCTCTATATGAAAAATTACATATAACTAGGCTACAATTTACCAATTACACTATCCAACTATTTGTGCTTTTAATTTTTATTATTAAATGAATCTAAATTAATTTGCAATTGGGCTTTTGTATATCTGAAATTATTTGGTGAGTGTATCAATAAAGTTAGCGTTTATATTTAGCATAATATAATAAAAAATATTTAATTAGGAATAGGACATAATAATCTGGGAGCGTTGACTTTAAATGTATTATTTGGTTATGTATCTTTCATCGCCCCTACTGGACGCATCATGAACAACAGGGACATAAAACGGTATAGGTCAGACATACGTCGTAACCATATGTGGTTTGCCTAGATTGTGTGTGTGTGCCTAAAACGTGTGCGGGCCTGCAGCTGGACATTATTGCTAGGTCGTAAAATTGCCTGAATCCAAGTCTGCAGACGCCCCATATAGATTATGGCTCGTTTCAGGTCACCTTTATCAGGCTTGTGTTACATCTTACAAGCCTAGGGGAAAATACAGTGGACGCAACAATATTAATTTAAAGAGCACTAAACTGGGACAAGTCACAACACATCAACGAGTAAAGTTCCAAAAGTTTATTTACAAATCCAAACTCGCACAATGAGTGTTAAGGAAACTCTAGCTTCAGGAGTGGAATACAGCCAGAATAAAACAAAACAGGGTTCTGGGAGTAAAGCCTCTAAATAAACTACTAGAAAACAATGATGAAAATCAACAACAAAACTACACTGACTCCCTGACTGACCTGAAAACAAGAGAAAAAGTCCAACAAAAAGCAACGGCCATCCACCTTCTTACTGCTTCCTGGCGGAAAAAGCAAAAGAAAGAAATCAAAGTTTAAACTGTGGTACTGCTCTTAGCCACAACACAAAACAAGTACCAATCATACACAAGTCACATCTCGAATCACAACAGTTCAACTTTTCAACAGCTTTAATTTAACTTAAACCCAGCTAGTGCTCTGGAGAAAGGTTCCTCTCTAGCTCCTTTCTCAACATCCAAGTGTTTGGCCTGTGTTTTTATCCCCTCTCACGTCTCCATGGTAAGTGAACACAGCTGTGGGAAGCAATCAGCAACCTGCTTGAAACTCAGGAGGGGAGGAGTCAAGGCAACAAAAGAAGAGCAGGGAAAGACATTTGACACAATATAAACAAAATAACTTTGAACAATACGTCTCTCAACGTCCTTTTGGAGGCGTGGTGTATGACAGAAAGTTTAAGTCAAGCTCGCTCGAATAAATGTCTACAGTAAAGCTGTACGAGTCGCTTACATATAATATGAGATGCACTTCTCACAAAACAGATGCTTTATACACAAATACTTGTTTATAAATGTTTATTTCTAACTTTTCTATGAACAGGATTTGATTATAACTGCAGATCAATGACAGTGCAAAATAGCCAGCTGTAACGTCTGCAATTATATTAAATAAATATATAAATGCAACATAAATTAACACATACAGACCCTTACAGTCTCCGATATATTATTATTTACAGAAAAACTACACACAGTATTCATTTAGTACTTATTTGAGTTCAAAAACACATGCAATATAGCCCACAGTCAGCACAAAGCTCTCATCTGTGTCTGTAATCTTCACCAGCACATGTAAGCTCTGTTAGAGAGTAATTTTTTCATTCCCAGTTCCTAAAAGTCCAAAAGACGAAGATAAACATGGCAGTTTGTTCATGATTTAGGTTGCTAAAACTATTTTGATCCTGAGTTTTGTCGGGCTTCTCCTTTTTTTCGCACTTCACTCTCACGCTTGTCCTTTTCTTTCTGAAGGGATCAGATGACGGAGACACTTCAATAATCACGCACATGTATCATCAGCTCAAGAAGTTCGTTACATCAAATATAGAAGCGATCGCAATCTCCTGGAAGAAAGCGAAATCTGCTCACACTTTTAGACAGGTTCGTAAAGCCACAACAGGACACGGCAGATTTTTCTTCTTGGCTTTGTGTCTGTTTATCAAGACGGCGCAAGGTTTGTTTGAGCTGGGTTCATCTTTGGCTTGTTATTATATGCATATAGTATTTCCATGTAATCTCTCGGCTGTGTATTAAAACATGGCGGATCCTTTGCTTTCATTCTGTCTAGCTCCATGGGCTCGCAACGTATCTCTGTAACCAATCATTGTTCAGCTGCACGTGTAGCTCCACCTTTTGGTACCCTTTTTTGTTTTTGGTACCCTTTCGAAAGGTTGCCGAAAAGGTGCGGTTTGGTTCGGTACACTTTTTGACAGTGGAAATGGCCATAAAAGCGTACCAAACCGAACTGTACCGTACCCTACCACTCAGTGGAAACGGGCCATTATAGGCTATCATTTTCTAAAGCAGGGGTGCCCAAACGTTTTCTTATGAAGGACCAAAAATTAAACTTCATTGTTCCATTAAATTTTCCATGGGTGATTTCCTAATTTATTTAATATATAAAATAACTAGAGAAAATTGCATTATATTACCTAATGCAGTTTATATATTTTAATTTTATAATAAACTTTTGTATCGTTTAAAAATTCTATTTTTTGTATTTTTTTTTGTATTATCTAATTCATTTACAAATATTTAACTGAAACATTTACTTACAGTTTGCTTTTTTGTAGCTTATCAATAAAAAAATAAATAAATAAAAGGTTACGTTAAACGGCCATAATAAAGGTTACCATGTGCCACCTTTGGCCCGCAAGCCC